ATTTTCCGCTTTCGGAATTGCAGTGGTGAACCCATGCCGTGCATGGCCGATGTCAGACTTGGCTAATCCAACGATCACGAGTTACAAGCGTTGCACTAGCGATCGAGCTGCGCGATGCCTTCGCAACTTTGAACCATAGCGCTTGCGCACGAATTTCACTAGCACAGCAAGCTTTATCGCACCGAAAGCTCTAAGTTGATTTCTCACAAGCGAGCCACTGATTTGGATCAGCATCGATGTATTCCGATTTAAAGGCAAGATTCAGGATTAAATTATGAGGTAATTCCACTCAAATGTGAAAGTAGGGGTAGGAAGTGGACCGCCAGTGGAGAAAAAGAAAAAAAAATCGTGAAATACACAGGAAATACGAGCCTTTTCTCTACTGCGGAGAAGTTCAAAAGGCCGGCAGGGAGATGAGAGATAATGTGAGCGCGGAGAGCGGTAGAGAAGTCCGAGAAGAGAGAGCATAGCAGATCAACGCAGACAAGATATCGAACGGTGGGCGGACCATGTTAAGTTTGGTGGAGTCTGTTAGAAGTCCATGGCGCCTAGGGTCCTAGTGACGCGTTTCGATGTAGAAAGGTGGCGCTACCTTTGCACTTGCGTACCCAGCACTTCTAGCCATGGTAAGGGCTTCTTAGGTGGGTCTGAGCCCGAACTTTGCCTTTAAGGCTTCCAACCAAGAATTGTAACACGCCTATTCTCATCATTGTAGTTACTCCGTGTGCTTCTACTATTGAAGGAGGTTATTGACTGGAAGCACACGCCTTTGCGACACATTTGAAACTCTTGCCGGTTCGTCTTTGATCGCCTTTAACGAAGAATGTTGGATATTGTGACCTGTAGAATTCTCTCAAATTCTTGTAGTAACATGCAGTAACAGTAAGATTGTTATTGGAAATCCTCTAGAGTGTTTGCGCAACATGATCACTCCGTGATATTTATGTTTTTTTGGAGTCCACCGACAATGATGATCCCAGTGCATCGATGAGGCCCAATCCCTTTCTCCCAGCCGGCCTGAACGACTCCCCCCGCTGTCGACCTGTAAGATTCCCCAACACTCTTGAACCTGGAGACATCTGCTAGTGCATGTGCACATCTGGAGGATGCTGTCGTGCACCTTTCCGCTTTTTCTTTTTGGTTCATTCGCTTTGAACATGAAGACTGTACATTTTCTTCAGGTCAATTTGAATACATACTCCCGCTGCTCAACAACTACAGAACGAACATAGCAACGGGACAGGCATGGAAGCATAGAGGGATGTTGCCATCTTCTTCGAAAATGTTCGCATTGGTACGCAAAAAAAGAACAAAACAAAAAAGCAAAAGTTTTGACTGTATTGACCTCTAGGATCATCGCGAACTAGTAGTGCAGATTTTTTGCCTAGATTGCGCACCTACTTTGAGATTAGGCACCACTTGGTCTTTCCCACGGATTACTTTTATGAAGCTCCCTTAGTTGGTGTATAGTAGATTGTAGATTTG